AATTGGGAGACGGAGTAGGCGGAAGGTGGGAGGGTGGGTCTGCGCGGGAACGGGCGAGTGGCTGAGGGCGATTGACAAGGAGCGGGGCGGCGGGGGCCACGGGTGCACAGCGCGCTCCGCAGCGGGAGCAAGCGTACTAACGAGACAGAGCCGTGAGCAACGACTTCCGATGCGGAGTTTACGACGTCCTGCCGCGGCTCCGTTCGGTGCCGCTCTTCATGAATTTCTAATTTTCCGATTTTTACCGAGATGGCGGCGGGGGCAGTTGTTTTTCATATTGCGTCGAAAACTCGTTTGGGCCGAGCGCGCCGTTGCGTTCCTTTTTCCCGCGCAGGAAACTTTTATCTTCCGCCGCGCTCCAGGTGCTCCCTTGTGCTTTCGGTGGCTCGTCGCTGACCTGGCGGTCGTTAAGGCGGTGCTGGGGCCCGCGAGTGAGTCCGAACCCGCTCGAGGTTTATTGGCTTAATTTCGATATGAATTATTGTGGTGCTTAGAATGCAGTTTGTTTCGGGCGCCTCTGTGTGAAAAAGCAGGGAAAGTGGAGGGGGCGCAGGGCTCATTCTTTTGGGATGCACCTCATTCGTTCGTTTAAGCTTTGTTCGGATTCATTTTGTGATTCCGTTGTTTTTGTGGAACCCTTTAGGAATGCATAATTCTGTATTCATGGTTAATAATTTAATGGTGTTTATTAACGATGCTCGCTTTACAAAAGTCACCAGAAATGGGTTAATTTCGTGTGGTTTGCTAAAAGAAAATAATTTTCGCGATACCTTTTTTTTTATAAGATATTCGAGATAGTTGACGCAGTTGATGTCTACATAATTCAAGACGAGATTGCATTACTTTCATTCTTGCAAAGTAGTCATAAATGCAGCCATCACCTCTCGGGTTGTATCCTTGTGATGCCTCGCTTTTTTAGATGCTATCTTAACAATAATAATAATAATTTAAAATGGATGCAATGGTACGCCTGAAATCAATAAAACATTTTTCTGAATAAAATTCGATTGTAATGATTAGGTTCATATATGTTCATTTTTTACATTAAATTTCTTTTCATCATATTTAACTTCAAAATGATTTACCATCGGGGCCACGCTATTAAGAATGAAACAATAGAAATTCTCTGATTGTTCCCGCAACCTTACTTTCTGGATTCCTCTACCTAACGTACGTCCCAATAGTAAACTAATTATAAAGCTAGCTCAGTGTGTCGTCTCGGATACTTTTAACAGTTTTAAAAGTATTTTCATATTTATTGATTTTAGTGTTTTTCTAATTAGATTTGAAGGATAGGACATATGAACAGCCCTTCGTGCAGACCGAGACGCGTCTCCTCGCTTGCCCCCAGACGAACGAAAAGGGCTGACCGTGAGTGACGGACTGCATGGGCGATCGGGGCACTCGCAGGTTACACGATTACAGTAGGAGATGAGATTACAGTACAGTACAGTTTATTTATTTATTTATTTATTTATAAAGCCTACAAAATCCTTTTTAGGGCATAGATCTCCTGCTTCAGCAGAGTGAAATGTTGGCTTTCACATTTACACCAAATGAAATTGCTTTAATAAAAAAGAAAATTACACATAGTTTCACAATTTTACACCAAGTGAAAATGTTGACTTTGTCTCAAACTCTTCCGTAAATGTCTTCCACTTGTCTGCCTGCCTCAGTCTCTCGCTTGACCTTTACTGTAAACCGATTTGGACATAAAATATATTACAAAAATTAAACAAAAACACACTTGAATCGTGCAAATTACACTATTTTCCTCATTGTCACAAACTCTTCGGTAGATGCCTTCCTCTTGTCTTTCTCGCTTCCCTAGACCATGGGTTTCCAAGCTCGTCCATTACAATGGTCTTTGTTAATTTGATATACATTGTTGCGACTTTCATCAGATTAATACTTTTTTCGCACAAGTAAAGTGTTATTAGTGTTCCAGATCGCAATTCAAATTCATTTCTTCCATTAATTAAATATCGCAGAAATATGTGTTATTTCTAGACTTAAGAGCTAATATCTCTAACCAACATTACCTTCGAAACGAGTTTATTAGAGCGATGGTTTCTTCCCCTTCTCCAAAAGATTCCTGTGGAATCTGGATTTCAAATTTTAAAGAGGTTACCCTTGTGCCTTGCTGCTTTTGGATCTACTTGCAGGGCCGTATCTCAGATTTACTAATTTCTAACATAAGGCCGTCTCTCGATCTTAGAAAGTCGTGCCCTGAAAGTGAGTAGAAAATTTGTTCAACAAAACGCCCCGTAAATTAATAAGTGAATGATTTTTGTAAATGACTATTCTTCATTACTCGCCTTCTTCTTTTATTTAAATGTGTTAAATCTCGATAAACCGATTTTCTCATCTTTATTGAGAATTACCTTTGGACCGAGATTTTTGGAAGTTAACTACCTACGTGTTATTCAGAGAAATCGCATGAATGTCGTGACTTCCGGCCACAGCACTTTGTTATTCAGCTTCTCATTAAGACTAATTACATTGCCGAAGAATTGAGGAAGCCACAAGAGAATTCACTACAAAATTTCCTATTGATGCCATATCGTGGGCCAGTAGAATATCTTTCTACGAACATCACAGCTAAAATGTTTCACGGCTAATAAAGTTACAAACGAATTCGATTCCTGTAAATTTTGATTAAATGGACATATCAATGTTCCTAGGTAAATGTATTCAGTTCTTTCATTCATAAACCGTAACGATTCTTCGTGAGGCGTAGGAGATAGTTTTGTGAATTCTCCGACTAGTTCGTATCGCAAGAGTTGGCAGATTCCGCTGAATTCCCTCGCCGAGCCTGCTCCTCCGGAGACGCCAGTGCGTGCGTCTTTGACGCGCACAGACTGATGCCAGCCCCGCCCATGCGTGCGGTGGGAACGCCCTTCCACCCACCCACCCACCGCCCGCCCACTCGCCCGGCGCGGCGACCGGGTGCACAGACGTAGCATTCACATGCGCGCTTATCTATGGAGTGTCGGCCCGGGGCGGGGGACGACGAGGCAGGGTGGGCAGGAGGGGAGAGGAAATAAAAGGAAAACGGGGTAGAGCGGCGCTCCGGCTAACAGCCGCCCACCGAAGTTGTGCTACGTCAACGAGAGCCTCGAAACGGGGTTGGAATACGTTGGCTTCTGATTTTATTTCTCTTTCCGATCACGAACGTTATAATATACAGGCTATCCACAAGTGCACTTGATTCATAAAACGTTGCACACATGCTGTACATTCAGATTTTGAAAGCAAGTATCACACCGTCTTGGATACCGAGTCGATAATTGAATAAGGCAACTATGAGCGCGTTGGTTGCTGTTTTGCATGCGTGATTAGCGCCCAAAGATCTCGAAAAGTCTTAGCTAATTGACTTATCTACGTTGCTCCATGTGTACCTTTGGACAATTGTGGATCACAAATATAATCATACGTATAGAGGTGAATTGGAGTGACAAGGTATAATTATACAAGGTATAATTATTATTTATCAAAAATCAATATCGATCGTCATATTTATTAATTTGTACCTATGATTATAGTCATTCAACAAATACTCAACACAGTTTCACCGCGCTCTGAAAGATTTTCGAAATGCGTCATATTCATTTAGTAATGTAGTAATGTTTAGTAAGTGTCAAGGACTACCTTGTCAGCAAAGCATTACTGGCAAAGTGATCACGTTTTCACACCCACTGTGGGGTAGCCTATTATTAAATTAAATTATTAAATTATTCTAGTCCTCTCCATCATTTGCTGGTACAATGAGAGTAGAGTTTTGCCCAGGGCTCATTTTTGAAATGAAGAAGACCCCATGAAAATTTAATTTTTTGCTGGATATTAGAACGGTTTTGTCGAACACGTTTTTCGAAAGCTGGTACAGAGGAGAACACGATATTTTCTGTGATGGCGTTTCTAAGATCTCACGTGTCACATATTTTTAATGTGAAGCTTCAAGAATGACTTTCGAGATGCGTCATCCATCCACCTTGCATTACAGACATTATTGGGGCACAGGAGGATAGCGAGAGGAAGGATAAAGCCCATAATTCGTGCTCCTGCGCCCATAAATTGAGTGTTGGTATTTGAATGTTCAGTAATTAAATCACAAAATTAAAATGAAAGTATACTTTCATTTATAGATACTGATTCAAAATGATGGATGATAATTCATGGCATTTTAGAGTGGAGGTGCTAGTCAATTAAGAATTTTAATATGGACTGTATTTTATGTGTGATGGTTCATTGATACATTAATTCTTGATTTGTGAAATGTTTCAATATTTGCAATTTTTTTTACTATGTCCATTCTATTGCCTTATTTTTTTTTTAAATTTAAGGATTTTCTACTTTAAGGACAACGAGTGGTTGTGTTATGTTGTGTCAGATGATTAGGAAATGTTGAATTATCTAAATTTAGATTCCAAAATCTAAGATGTTCATTAATCGCAGAAGAGAATTTCCTCTCAGGTTCCTCACAATGTAGAATTTCAATTCTAATTTCTATCCATTAAGGGATAATGTACTTTTTTAAACAGGCAGAAATGTTTGAGGAGAATATGTAACTGAATTTGTCAACATGTTTTTTTGTTGTTGTTTTTTTTCGGTATAACCAGAAAATGTGGATTTTGACTACTCTACATATTAGAGAAACTATTGTATTATAGGAGCGAGAAAAAATATGTTTTACATTATCAGGGACCAAGAAAATAGTTGTTCTGTCGAAGAAAAATTACTTTCCGCCCTAGCATTTCATACTTGTAATATGCACTATACTATACTTATTACTTATACTATACTATGCATATTACGTACGTATATGAAAAAGTGAAAAGAATGATGTTTGTTTAAAAAACGAAATATTAAAGCAGCGTACAAAATTGCAAGTTTCATGTTCATCGCGTCCCGTCTTTTTCACTTTCTTTTCTCTCCCGTCCGTCCGTCTCCCATCGTTCCTTTCTTTGCGTCGCTCACGTCGTCGTTTGCTCTGTTTGCAGTTCGTGGAGCTGGGCGTGGTGACGAGCATCGAGAGCAACCACAAGACGGTGGAGAGCGCGCGCAAGGGCCAGGAGGTGTGCATCAAGATCGAGCCCATCCCCGGCGAGGCGCCCAAGATGTTCGGCCGCCACTTCGACGAGAAGGACTTCCTCGTCAGCAAGGTAACCCGCCCGCCGCCCGGCGCCTCGGGCCGGCGCTGCCGGAGCGCGCTTGCCTCAGAACCAGGCGCTGCCAGACGAAGCGCGAATGATTTCCTTTTGGTTTTCGTACACGCGTTCACGTGAAGCGTGTTTGCTCGGCTGGCGTAAAATGATCCACGTGGGACCTTGGTACTTTCGTGTAAACGAATGCGACGATGAGCCTTTTAAAATAAATAAATAAATGTGTCTATTGATGGTTAGGCTCGGGCCATTTACCCTGCTTTCCGCCTGACCATGAACGACCATTTTTAAAAACGTATTCGACGAGTTTGGTATTCTGCGTTGGGTTGAGTGCCAATGGAGACTGGAATCCACGAAAAATAATCATGAAAGATGTGTGAGAGTTTGACTGTTGGGAACGATCGAAAAGGCAAAATGCATGACTGCCCACTTCTGCACCATAGATGTTACCTTGATAAATCATGGTTAGATTTCACTTTTTATTAAATTGTGATCTTTATTAATTTTTGTCTATTGAAAACAGAACAGTGCCACATTTCATTCTTTGCGAATGTGTCTCGAAATACCCTTGCCGGGCTTCTGCAATTAAACATAGTTGTCTCTGCTGGTAAGTTTAATAGACCTGTTGGGGTCGTCTCGTAAGATAACTCCTCGTTACGGTACTGTTACATAATTTCCTCGTTCTTTGCTAAGCTATACCTGTGCCCTGCCTTTCCATTGAGTGCTGATTATGTCACGCTCTTTATAATACGCGCTGTGAAAAGCAGTTATCGCGCTCACGATTGTAAGTTTTGACTGCTACAATTAATTATTGTAAGTGCAAACAATGTAGCGTGATTTTTTACCTCTGACGATTACGTACATTTCGCGCTTTACTCAATTGATCTTGATGCAGGAGAGGTGTATATCTTGTTATTTCGTCGCATTCTTAAGACTTCTTGAAATTAGTCGCAGCACAGACATACATTGATCTCATTTCAGTAGACTGACTTGGCTGCAAAAGTATTTTTAGAAACTCATTAAGTAGATTATTGCATTTTTTCATGCATGCATGCATGCATGCTTGGTTATGATATTCGTTGCGAAAAATTGTGATGAGTGTGGACTCTTGGCAGTGAAAAGAAATTTCGGAACAAGTGAATATGCTCGTCGCTTTCTTAGCTGAACCTAGTCTTTTAACGGCGTGATTCCCAGGCGAGGACTTACTCACATTGCCTTCAAGAGACTACTTAATTTTTTCTGATTAATAACGCGATCGTTCAGTAAAATGAAATGAAATATAGTGCGAGTTATCTTAGCATTAAAAATTAAATAATTAAACAACTATCATATGCATTAAGGAATTTATTTAAGCGATAGTACTTAAGGAATTGTTACGGTGCGTTTTCAAATATTTCTGTTCCTGAAATGAAGTTACATAGGTATTGCCGGATTCTTTTCTGGAAAATGTGAACTATCGTATTCAATTAAAGCAGAAGAAAATGATATGAACCCATAATTTATGTTTTCCGATACGTATCATGCAGATTCAAGTAATTTGAAGAGATTTATCTCTTTCAACTGTTCATATAAAACTTCTGTGCGTATCGCCGACAGTTTTGACACATGTCCCCGGCAGTTTAACAAGGACATTACGTGGTCACGTAATTTCTGTTACGTCGCTGCATCGGAGTCTCAAATCTATTTCAAATCCAACTGTCAAATCTATTGACTTGTATGACGTTTGAAGCATAAATGAGTAAATTTGAATTAAAAATGTTGAGTTGAAACAGGAAAACCTTTGATATCTTGTCCGACGAGAATAGTCATTAAAGTATATCCATTTGCATTTCTTATTGTTATGTAAGATACAGTAATGGAACATACATTTTTGTCCAAATAGTACTACCGCTTCGCACTCGTTCCATTGTGTACGCCCTCTCTCTCTTCTTTCTCTTTTTTAATTTTCACTCACTCATTCACTCACATAAGTACACGCACATAATTTCCCTATTTCCTTCTGTATCCCTCCGTCTCTCGCGTAAACAAAAATTGAGCATTCACATTTATGTTATTACTTCTTACTCATTCACTGAGATACATCCACCTTCTTGAAAAGGCATGATGTTGCTGTGTGATCCATGTTCATATTGCACGCTTCTCCCCCCCCCCACTCCCTCCATCTCCCGCGTGACTTTTGCGTACGGCGCTGAAGCCCCTCCCCCTCGCCCGCCCCCCCGCGGGCGACGCGCACCTCCCCGCTTTCCGGCGCGACCGCGGCCGCAAACAGCGCTATCAGATAGCGCTCTCGGCCACGGGGCCGCCCGAAATAGACTGGCCGGAGGCAGGCAGGAAGGCGGCCGTCGTCGTCGTCGTTTGCGCGTTCCTGCGGCGAGCGCGCGTCGCATAGCGTCCGCAGAGGGCAGCGCGGTGCGGGGGGAGGCTCCATCTGCGCCAGGCCCGTCACTCGACGCTTCGTATCACCCAAAAGTATCAATAGAGCCCTCATTAAATGTTTTTTAAATGCCCTAAAAGCAAAGAAAAATGACGTAAAAAGTTTTATCAATACCAGTTCGGATGAACAACCCAAACCGTTAAATATGCTACTGATGTAATTGAGGCTTCTTCCTGTCGTTTAAGTGAACTCAGCTTGCACACTTTTTGTTTGGACCGTTCTTCGCCAGGAAAACTCTGATTTTCGTTTTCATGAAATCGGCAAAATTGACATTGGTTCTGATAGGCGTCACAGTAATCTTAGATTACAACCGGTATTACAATATATGAACGATAACAAATCGAATAAGCTACTCAGGAATCTTGTGAAGAACATTTGTTGCTGCTCGTAAATGTTACTTGAAGTAAGTACCATTAAAATGATAAAAACGATTAAATAAGCAAAAAACGATTAACAAGTAAAATATTACTTATCAGTCAAAATCGACTAAAATGTAAAAATAAAATAAAATGAAATGTCACATAAAAATGGATCATTTCCCTTTGTCAAAACATAAAATTAATGTCTATGCTAAAATGTTCTACAGGCGTGTTCAAATTAATTGTATTAGAATAAAAACATGTTTTGTAAAATATTTGCATTTTTAATGTTTATATTTGTGTACATTTTATTACATTCATACATTTAATGCTTGGTGTTGGTAACAACAAGATATTAAGAATTCATCTCCAATTTTATATCATGAAACTTAGGAACATTAAAAATGTATGCTTTAGTCTTGAACACGTCTGTAAAGTGACAGAAAAAATTACATTTCATTAAAATTGGCCCCCTAGTTACGTACCAACTTTATTATTTAGTTTCATTTTGAAGTATTCTGAAGTATTTTGAAGCATTTTGGCGTATTTTGAGTTCGTGTAAGTGACCATACAATGTATTGATTGGGGAAATTCATAATACGTTCATATGTTTGGTGTGATTGCTTGGTGTGTGTGATTGCTTGGTGTGGGATCGTTTGGTGTGTTTGGTGTGCTGGAAAAGAGGAAGGACTGAAATAAAATCCGAATCAGAATGTAAATTCATGAAGAATTTTTAGGAACCGGTATCTGTAATTATTGTATGCTATTACCCCCTCCTTTTTTTTCAAAAACATTTCCATCTTGCTACCCTGATCCCCAGGTTTTCTAATGAAAGAGGCAGGTCACTACCAAAAAGGACATTCAGAAATATTTAAAGCTGGTTGTTAACCTTTTGCACCCACAAATGTCTGAGGAGTTTCAGACGCCTGACAGTGATGAGTAAAAAATAATTGTACTGGTGGAATCCAACGATACATTTTGTTGAAATTCGCAGCTGGAAATTTTCAAATTTAAATACAGAATTATCTCTTTTTTAGTAGGACGACTTTCGTCGTACTAAGAGATAATGTTATGGACGTACAATAATAAATACTGCTGTAACATCGTACAGGTAGCTCGTACATTGGTCATCAATTTTTTATCATTAATGTCACTCGGGGATCCACACTACACGTTTCGATCAATGTTCGCAACCAACGTATTTCTTAGCCGTTAACTCGTTTCTCTGTTAAATGCCTGCTCGTTCAAGATGTGAACAGTTTCCTTTGGCAACTTCCCACTTCTTTCTCTATCACTCCTGCGTCCACCTCCAACTTCGCTTTGGAACAGTTCCAACCTTATCGTATACCAACTCTTACGTTATTTCACTTTCTTCTTTGTTTCACATCCTTTCCTTTTTCGTTCCCATTTTCCATAAACATATCACAATCTACCTATGTTTTTCAACCACCGACTCTCTTCCAAGCTTCTATTATCTTATGTCCCCTCCCCGGTATGTTTCTAGTAGCTTGGTGTGTTGTTACTCTTCTTTCCATTCTTATCAGCTGTGTGATGTACAATTATACATTGCCTTTGTCGCTTCAGTTTCTCGGTGAACACGTAGTGAATACTATTTTTTTGTGCGCATTCTCTCTTTTTGTTTCCTCACGTTTTATCACCTTTTTTCTCAATGTATAGTTTGCACTTTCACATCAATTTTCACATTTCCCTTTACTTTTATGCACAATATACTTTTTCTCCGCACTTTTCGTTGTTTTTCCTCCTTTTGTCCACCTCCTTGCCTCCTGTTTGAGTGGTTATGAATGTTTTCACGCGTTTCTCCGCGTGCCTAAGGCGTTAATTGCGTCCTCCTGCCTGACTTCCTGTTGGCGTTTCCTTCGCAGCACCTTGTCGTTGGCCTGACCGTCGTCGTGTCGTGCCCTGGCGACGTGGCATGTTTTCAGGAAAGGCGCGCGGGCGGCCGCACTCTTGAATGGGGATCGCGTTTCAGGCGCCCCGCTGCCTATTCAGTAAAACTGTTAAGAGTTATCAATAACAAAGATAATGATGAAATGCGCCGCGGTCCACCCCCTCGACCGGGCCCCACGCCATTCATAACAGCGGATGTTTATGAATGGATGACTGGCTCGGCGTTCGTCATGTGTTACCAGCCAAGCAGAGCTCCTAGCGGTTCGTTTCGTAATCTCTTGCAACACTGAATGAATGGA